AGAGGTGGGAATTCCATGGAAGCATAGTCTGTTGTTTCAATTCCGAGTCCAGGACAAAAGAATTGGGGACCTCACGGAGTTAAAGGAAAAGAAAGAAAAAAGAAGAGGGCATTTAGAGATCGAGGATTTTTGGGATCGGAGAGTTAGCTTCAAGCTCCTTCGAAAGATGTAAGACTGAGTTTCATATGATTTGGGAGGATTTTGCAATCGTTGCTCAAAGTCAATGTTTGTATTGGTGAATTGGGTTTTTTTTTGCAATAAAGTTAATGCTAGTACTCTTGACTATTTTGTGAAATTGGAGAAACATTTGCGATTGAAATTTTAGAAGTGTCTAGATGGTTGAGTATGCCAAGTGCTTGCAAAAATTTGTGTTAATCTAATGATACGAATAGAGGATATTTGATCATTAGTGTAAAGAGGTATCAGAAGTCGACATATTGAGATCATTTAGGGTTTGTGTAATATCTGGAGATCTATCGACTGGGATAAGGTGAATTTTGATGAGGTAAGTCGAGGACTTAAAAGCAGAGCTACACACAAAGTTTGAATGAGAATTAACGATTAGAGAAGGAAAAATTACAAGTTACAGTTCATAATCAACTTCAAGGTGGCGGTCAAAGAACATCACTGTGGATTTACGGCATTTTCTTGCAATTTGTAAGTTGGATTGGATTGAACTTCTTGAGCATTTAGAAGACTTGTAAAGATACTAGGAATAGTAGTTTCACAACAATTGGACAGTTAGATTTAGAATTACAGCTTGCCAAAGCTCGCTGTCTAGGGTTAGGGTTTAAAAAAATAATAAATAAATAAATAAATAAATAAATAAATAAATAAATAAATAAATAAAAATAAAACTAACAAATAATAGAAGAAATTATACTTATAATATCTCGAAGTTATTAAAAATAGTATTTCTAAGTACTTTGTATTGAGAGTAAGCTTTTACATTAAAATCCGAAATAGTTTGTATTTAGATAGTTGAAACCCACTAGACTACTTGGATACTTGCAAAACATTGTTTTATCTTCCACAACCAGACGCCCGGTGCATTCTCAAGCTAGATAGCATATAATACAACAGCGTTGGTGACAAAAGATCCTATTGCGATGTTATCCTTGAATTGTGATGCATCTTGATATAGAGTTATAACCGGACACAAAGCCACAATGTGGTTGAATTCTAGACTAATTTTGTTTTATTTTAGAAAAAAATAAAGACTTAGTGGTACAATTTTGAGATTGTTTTTAAGTCAAGTAATATTATTTTATTTTTTGGTTTCAAAAGTGAAAATAGAACTCAAAATGAAAGAATAATATATGTGGTATCAGATCCTTTAGGATCAAATTTGATAGCAAAGACTCAAAGAAAAAATTCTTTAATAAATTTTAGCTAAAGCAAGAAGAATTAATCAAGATTGTAAGAAAAACTATAAGATCAACTTTCCAACGATTGAAAAAAGAAGAGATCTTTGAAACTAATATACAAAAAATACAAGTGGGTCAAGAGATGAAACTCATAGAAATTTATTTTTAAAAAAACTAATCTTTTAGGCAAAATATAAAATTGTGTGTCAATGAGAAAATTTACTTTCTAAAATAGAGGAAGGTGTAAGGATTAAAATTTTTTGACCTTCTCACTAATTTGCTTAAATATTTTATAAAAAAACAAAGAAGTTAAGTGTAAACCAAGACACCCTTATGTCCATAGGAATGCTACGACGAGGTAGCAATGAAGAGGTTGGAATGACTACCTTTATCACTTGAAGGTTCATATTGCATGGGGGCACTATATGGAGTGAGGAATGTTAGAGTTTGAAGATGACTCTTAAGTGCCTCAAAGAGAGGTCATATGATTTATCTCTTTTAAGAACTAAAATTGTGGTTTAAACTTAATATAAAAGGTTGAGAGTCACCCTTCAAGTAACTAATTTCAATAGGAGGTGACCTCTAAGCGTTAATGATAAAAGATCTTATTATAATGTAGATTCAAAATACACCACAGAGTTGCAGTGCAACTTGATTTTAGAGTGGTTTTCTTTTGTTTCAAAACAAAGTGGGGACTTGGTGGTGTAATTTTGGGATTATTTTAAGATTATTTTTATGTTAAGTAATGTTTTTTTTTTTGGGTGATTTTAGAAGTAAAAAGGAGCTCAAAGTGAAGTAGTATTATACATGCTTATACAACTATTACAAACTCATTGATACTAATGTTGTGGTAGAACTTCCTTGGATAGGTGGCATGATGGATTTTACTATTTTCTGCTTGTTCTAGGTTTCAAACTTGAATGTTGCTTGCCCTCCTTTCTTATCACTGGTTGTTTATTTGTAATTGTATTAGTCATTGACAATAACTCTTATTTTTAGTTGGTTTCTTTGATTTCTAAAATTGGAACCTCACAAATTTCACTTATTGCACTTCATTTGTGACTACACAACCAAGGTTGACAATCTTGACAAAGATAAAATCAAAGCAACTGAAGAAAAGAGATCCAAGGAATCCAAGGAAAAAGATGTTGTCTTGCAATAGGTCTATTTTTCTATCCAAATAAATGATGTTTAGTATTTAACACATATACTGGTGGAATTACTAAAGTCAAGGCTTGAACATACAATAAAGTTTGGTTGATATCCCATGTGCCTTTCTTAGCAGAATATGTACTCCTAGCTTTTGCCATTGGCTTTACTTGCTCCACCTGTAGCTGGTATGGGTAGCCCTATGCCTGGCATGGGCATGCCTAGTACAAGGATGGCAGGGATGAGTGGTATGGCCTCTATGGGTAGAGGCTATTGTATGCATGCTATGAGTTCATTCTAGGAATGGCCTTAATGGAGCTTAACATCCTTGTTTGATTGAGATCCTCTGCCAACTTAATTTGACACCCACTGAGGCTTGATATGGACAAGTGTACAAAAGATCATTGTTCATAAAATTCCTACTCTACTATTCAAGAGTATGTTTTTATTTAGTGTCCATGCCAAACTAGAAGTTCAAATAGGGTTTCATTGTAACACTGGTTTGTGTAGTTAGAAGGGATAGATATGTAGATCCTAGTAATAGTCAAGCCTCGTGATCAACTATTTTGTAAATATGATGTATATGAGTGTTCTCAAGGACAGGTATTATGGATGAAAAGATATTGGCTCCATGTCAAATTATCTGCTACAAATGTTAGGTGTAGAGAGAATTCCATCAACTAGCATGCCATCTGCAGAAAGCCTTCTGATGTGGACAGTTACACTTTCAACTTGGCTTTGTCTGTTGTGCTGAGCACAGATGTCCTGCCTACCACTTCTGTCTGTCAATTTCTATGTATACAGTTAAAATGTGAAACCTTCCAAAACTATGCTTCAAAGTCAGAGAAAGGATCAACCAAAGAACAATTAATTAAAGACTTCCAACTTCATTCCCTATTCTCTAACCAATGAGCTGGTAAGTGTGCAGGACCAGGGCTTCTCTGAATTAGTTACAAAACACAGTACCAAATAAGTCATGATTCAGCTTCCACTGTAGGCAAAGGGGTCATGCAAACACAAGCCCCCATTGCCACAATTACAATGTGTATGCTTTCCATAGAGGGATACTAGACCTTAAACCTGCACCATGACCAACACCATACAACATTCACAGGGAAAAGCATCTTTGAAACTATTCATTTGTTCTTGTGTACTGAAGACCTTTGGAAGGCATGAATGAATGTACCCAATCATGCTCTCACTTAGGTCAACACATCAAACACTATACCCATCTGTGCAGAACCATTTGCTTTTGGCCAAATGCCATTGCATTCCATCTTATAAAAGTTAGCACAAACAAAACCCAACTGTACATTCAAAGGAGAAACTTGCAAAAGGGCCGGGCATCAATCTTGGCAACCTTTCCTGCACACATGCATGCAGGGCTGGACTCATTCCATCCTACTTCACTATGAAAATTCTAGGGGCAATGAACATTCACTACAAGATGCTTTTCAAAGTTTAATCTCACCAATATATCACAAATGGTCAGAATTGAAACAACACCATTATTGAAGGTTTTTTGCTTGTTATCATACATGTCATACACTTCTGTTGAGTGGACAAAGATGTGCATGAGCTGATTTGGCATCCAGGCTCTTGAGCATGGGCAACTTGAGAACTACATGCAATGAATGACATGTACAATATCTCACAAAAAAATGGAATGTCAAGGTTGAGGTCTAGGTTCCAATTTGAGAGTGGTAGCAGATTCATGCTTCAGAATTGTAGAGCAATGCCATAAGTGTTGTAGCAATCATATTTTGGTTGTTGGGTCCTTCAAACACCAAATTATGCACTCAGTACATGTAGAATCTAAAAAAAAATTGAATAATTAAAAACAGAACAAAACAATGTGAACAATTATATTACATTGAAGTTGAAGTGAAAACTTCAGGCTGAACTTGATTGTATTTTTTTGTTTATTTACCAAAGATGAGTCTAGGCAGGAGAACAACTGACCCCAACTAATGACCTTTCACTTAGAAAAAGAGCTCAAATCAGATTCATATATAGTGTTTTCTAAGGACATGTGGTAGTAATCAGAAATAAATATACAATAATTAACTTAACATAAAGTTATCAAGCATCCTTTGAGTGAGAAACTTAAATCAAAATGAACATCGGTGGCCAATATTAAACAATCAAATGTAAAAGAACAAAACAATCCACCTAAACCCGCCTAGACTCATCTTTGGGAGTTTGGTTGAGATAACTGCTTTGGACAACTATATAGGATTTAATGTGCAAGTCAAAAAAGTTCATGGTTTAGTTTGAAAAGTTCAAATGGATAAACTAAGCTTATTCATCGAACCAGATTGTGAGAGTGATGGGATAGTAGTTGTATCTACAATGTCTAGGCAGATATTTTACATACAGGTTTCATGTTGATATCACTCTTAAAACAAAGCAAGTACAACCTATTAAGAAAACCAGAACGAACACAAGCTTGTAGACATTAAAATAAATCACAACACGCTGAGATTGATGCTTCTTATAAAAAGACACTCCAAATCTGAGTGGAAAAATGAGTAGCTTAGTTTAGGAAAGAATACATACATCGTCACAAAATGTAGACTTATTTACAACTTCCAGAGCGATGACTCTTCATCCCTCAAGGGTCTGTACGCATGGTGTTTGGAGTTATGAGCACGAGCCTCTTCTTTATCTTTAGCATAGGTAAAATAAAGCGGTGTATAACATAAGCAGCAGAGACCGAAGGGGATGGCCATAACTGCAAACAGGCCGCGGGAGAGAGCTAGAGCCTCCTCGGGAGAGCCATTCTCGGGGATAACCATGTGAGCCCTGTAGCCATAAACCCTTTCAGCTAAAATACCCACAAGGGGCGCAGCCAGAGCTCCCAAACCTCCTTCGAAGGCACGGTCGAAAGAATAGATCACTGTTCTTTGCTCCTCAGGCACTACGTCTGCAAACATGGGGTTGTTTGCACAGGCTTGACACCAACTGATAGTCAGGCCCATGAAAATGAACATCGATGCAAACATGGCCCACCGTTCAGGGTCCTGGGGGAGGATATGCAGTAGAATTAAAGAGCATGGGATGCCCATGAAGGAAGAAAATTGAGCACACATGATTCGGCCTTTTCCAGGAAATTTCTGCTCCGCTCGATCTCCTAACCATCCCCCTGACACCGCTCCAATTGCACAGCCAGCGGAGAATAGGCTCATTAGGCTTGCTGCAGCTTTGTGTCCAAAACCTGAGACAGCTCGTGAGGTTCTGATTCAGATCGAGATATTCAAGAAAGAAAGTTTAGGAGTGTAAGCAACATGGATAGCGCCTAGACAATATCCATAAGTGGCATAAGAATACGATGTCATTAGAAAGTTCATTCACGACAGTATTTGGCTAAGGGATATTAACAGGTCATGTGTAGTCTCACCAATAAGCTCCAACCACATTGTGAAAAAAACCATAGCCGTCCATGGCAATGATCCCACTAGACCCTGCATGACGATAATCTGAAATGTTCGCACTTTCATCACCGCTTTGATTGCAATCCAAGCATCCAACCACGCGCTCTGAATGCTCTTTCCCACCTTCTCATCGGTCTTGAATCTAGATGCAAAGCGTCTGCAAATAATTTAAAATGGTGTAGTCTCCTTATGTCGCGTTGCACTAAAAGTAGAAAAAAAAAATGTTCTAGACATAAATTCCAAACATGATCCTTGGAATCAATTAGCAGGGGTTCAAGTAAAAACAGAAGACCCCTACTCCAAGGAGCAACAAGATTCAAAATACTACTCAGATGAAGAATTACACACCCGTCGAACTCCCTGTAGCTGCTGGAGCCGGAAACTGCATTGTCCCGTGGATCCAGAACAAAAATATGAACCACCCATCCAATAACACAGCTCACAGAGGCTACCAGAAGAAATGCAACGCGCCAGCCTGCAATACCCCAAATACTGCCATAGCCTGCCATGACGGTAGCTATTCCACTGCCGGCTATCCCTCCCACACTTCCAACCAAATTCAGCCATCCAAAGGCCATCCCTCTACCAGCTTCTGAGTGACTATCTGCAATGAAGGATTGCAAGGCCGGCACTACAATGGCAAGACCAATCCCGTTGAGTGCCCGAGAGAATGCACACTGGGTGAAAGTAAAGGACAGAGCCACAACAGCTGTTGAAACGGCCCAGAAGAGAGTGCCCAGTCCTATAACCGAAGGCCGGTAGTAGCGCATTGCAAGGATTCCAGCCAGAGGAGAACATACGGCTTGCACTATGGTTCGGATGAAGGTGAGACTGCCCAATTCAGAGGGACTGGCCTTGAAAGCTTCTGAAACTTCCTTGTAAACAGCTGGGAGTAGAGATTCGTCAGCTCTTTCGAGAATTGCTGCTAGGTTGATGAGGAATAGGGAAAAGCTCAGTCCCCGCAGCATATTCATCCTGCAGATGCATCAAAATATTGTAAAATGACAACCGCAACTCTCTCTTGGTTGAATCAACGTTTTAGTGCGAACTCTCGCACGTTAAAAACCCACCTAGATTCATCAAGATTGAGTTACAAGCAAGACTAGGTAGTGAGAAGGTCGTACTCGAATCATGAACCCTCTAGATCTGCACAGGAATTGTGCTAGAAAACTGGTTAAAACGACTTCTCCCTCGCCTTAATACACGAGGGTAAGTGAGAAAAATGGCAATTCACAATCCGGAATCATGACTACCAAAGAAAGAAATTTAAATAATCCTAACTGCCATGCATCACCAACTGGCTCGCGATAAATTACGAACCATACGCATAGCATCACAAATGCAGAGAAATGTAAAATATGTCCTCACACCCAGCAAGTGACATGCTTTAAAACCAGCGAGCGCGCTCAGAGAAGGCAAGTATCAAGATATTCAGCTCCAAGTACGCACCTACTGCGAGGGGCGTACTATTTTAGAAACATTTCTACAACAGCTATATCTCAAACCTAGCAGCCGACAAGCTAACCTAGCACTAAACCGAGAGGAAGAGACGACGATGGCAGCATCGCGGGGGGCGTCGGAAGAACTTGGGTGATCGAGCGAGGAGATCGACCTAGCAAACGCGCCCCAACCCAATCCACTGCCATACAGACACACACCGCGCATCCAGACGCTGACGAGTACAAGGGAGGTTGCAGTTGCGCATGATGGAACCCCGGCAAGGTGGCAGTAATTGTCGATGTAGCCGAGAGGATCATCCACCCGGATCTTCAAAACTTATCTCGCCCCCTTCCAGTAAACGCGGTACCTTCAGGTCAACCGTGTCGGCGTGGCATGCCCTCCGCTGGTTTCTACTGTTGGTGCTAGGTTGCGACCCACAAAGTGAATTTCTTCCTCCACAACCATTATTATTCCCACTCGGGGATTGCGTCGTGGCGACAAACACCCCACGAAGAACAACTGCTGCACGGGCTCCGTGAGTCATTTGCTCATGCAAAAAGTGCGATACCCCCACGTGAACCAAATTGGTGGGCCGGGCACACGCACGACAGGCAATGGGTCCTTGGTATGGGTCCCCCTCAAGTGACACTGCAATAGATCGGAAACCCATCGTTAGGGGAAAAAAACTGCGTCAACTCGTGACCACTTACCGGCCGTCGTAGCTCAGTTGGTATAGCGGAAGGATAGGGTGCACTTGGCGCTGCAGTGGATCAGCATCATCTTCTCTATGCATATCAATCTCAGGCACCGTTTCGTTTCGCGCCCAGTCCATTTCCCCTAATGATGGGTTTCCGAGCTCCTGTCTCATAATGTTTCCATTCGAGGGCTTAGGAGCCGGAACATCACCACCTACGTCCTCGTGTCTGCTTTCCAATTTCCATGTTTAAATCGAAAGACAATGGATGGGGTCAGTTGGGTGATATCCAATGTCGCAACAAAGAGATACAAGAATAGTAGAATGTTGTTCATGTTCCGACAAGTTCACACAAGGCTCCTCTAGACAGCCTATCTTAACAAGTTGCTCAGACCCGATGTTGGAACTAAAGTTGGCCCGCTGCATTTAGGGCTTTTTCACAGATCCGATTTTTTCGGTATATAATTTTTCTTGCCTTCGAGTGATAGTTTAAGCTTACAACAGTTCGTATAATGTGTATATTTCCTAGGGAAATGAGACGCATCACTTAGGCCAAGATTGTAAGTCCAGGTAGCTTCATTTTGCATCTTTTGTAATGGCAATAACAAGGTCACAGAGTGTGCGGGACAGGTTTAGAGCGAATTCAGAACCCCACAATCGTTGAACACTGAATCTAGCAGAGACCAACGTTGGGTGGACACAGAGAATCATCACAGGGACAAAGGAGCAGGCCCAATGGTGCGCATTCTGGTACAAGATATAGACACCCTCCCATACAAAATCAATATACCAGACATCTAAGGAGGAGGGGTCACGAAATACCAAATAGAATATAGCAGCCTCCCAACGCAATGAAGCAGATGCCGCAGTAATACTCACCATGTCCGCAACTGCTTAGTCCCGAAATCAACACAAGAGAAGGAACGTCTCCGGAAAGCCCCACAAGATAACAGTACCATACAACCGACAACAACACACAACCCAGAACACTCTGAGGGATCACTGCAACGATCTCAGAACATCGAGATTCTCACGTTGAAACAAGCGGACTAGGAAATCCACCTATGTACCACAGCCATACATCAGCTAGAGGGAGAAACTGCTTGGACTCGTGTGGGAGCTCAAATACATATGACAAACCTGGCCATGCACGCATTACGCAAGGAAGTAATCAATCGCAGCAGTGGACCCAATCCACTACGACAATGGTAAGATACCATATGGATCCCACAAACCAGGGCTAATGAACAACAAATGACCTGGTTTACACTCGTCCCATTTGATGCAGCCACAACCAAAATCAAAAGAGTCGGCCAAATCCATTGGAAATCCTCACAACTCAAGAGCACGAGAGACCCTGCAGTCCCGTTACTACAACGACTACAAGCAATCGCTCCCGAAGATTGGAGGTCAGAACTAGAAACAATCCAAACTCATTATACAACCTTCAGCAGCAATCACAATCCCAGCCCAGGCCCCACCGCATTATTTGAATCCAGAACGGAAGCCGTGCAAGAGCACCAGACATCTACCGATGTTTGATCAGCTCACAATAGCTTCTTACAATATCCAGTGCCTCGGCAGAGGCCTGAACGGCAGGCGCAAACGCCGCAAGATCCGAGATCTTCTCCATATCTCACATCTACAACCCGACATCATACTATTACAAGAAGAGAGGCTCACATTAACGAAATGTATCGCAAGAACAGTCCAGATGAATCTTCTCACGGGTGCCGTCTTATGGAAGGAAGGAGGATATTCAGCATATGATGATAGCTACGCAGGTGGTACTGCGATCATTGCCTCATACAAGTTTGCGATCATTGCAATCACAAACTCAATCTGCGAACACGGGGTAATAGTACAGGGAAGAGCACAGTACCTCACGTATCTCAACTCTGCCTTTGAGAAAGTTGGCATCCTAAATATTTATGGATATAGCTACATAGGCCCTGGAGCCAGCTTATGGCAGAAAATTGCCGACTTCCCCCTCTCCGAGACCAAATGGATAATGATGGGGCATTGTAACTCAATTGAGGACCTCTCTGACAAGCTCGGAGGTAACCCCACGACGGGCAAAGGTCCACGGGAAAACGAATCATGGACAACACTACTAATACAACTAGGTTTGCAAGACAAATTTTACATGGGTGTATTTCGACATATGAATCAGAAGCGCTACATAAGGGACAATAGACGCCAACACCCTCATATGCTAGCTAATCGTATCGACAGAGCCTATGTCACCTCGGAAATACAAGAAAGAGGAGGTATAATCGGGAGATAGCCCGCTCACACCTCCATCTCCGACCACTCATCTATTTTCCTGAAGCTCAAGAAAAAAGGCCCGCCCTACCTCGAACACCCTTCTTCATCAAAAGACAACTCCACACGGAGCAAGGTAATCTCCTACTCATTTGAGCTTAGCACGACGCGGTAACCAAACATCAAGAGGAAACATGGACACACAAAATCACTACCGCACTCAAGGCAGTGCGAGAAGGCAACGCACAAGAATCGGCAAAGAAAAGGCAGATATGGAGAGCAATGTACCAACACCAGATTGCAGATATACAAGCCGTGGAGCTGTACCTCCAGCACAATTGGAACTGCCAAGTCGTGCGAGAAGCTCTGAACACCGCACAAGCCAAGTTACAAGAAATTCGACAAGCGCGGCTCAATAAACAATTCGATTCGGTAGCAGCAAAATGGACTCGCGTAGGGGCAGATGCAATGCCAACTTCTTTGACCACTTCAGTGTAAAACGCAAGCGTACAAGAATCCGTGAATTAAATAATAAAGGGAAAATACTCACATACCAAGAGGAAATGGCCGCCTATGCATAACAGTACTACCAATCACTCAATAGCCGTGACGAAGTCATAGAACGAAACGACACAGCAAGGACAGACTATTTGGCCAGCGTTCCCAAGAAGATAACCGAACTGCAGAATAAAGAGCTCAAATGGCCCATCATAGCCCAAGAGCTCACAGTAGCCATCAAGGGACTCCCGACAGGCATGACCCCGGGACTAAACTTAGTGCCAACAGAGTTTTTTCAGATCTGCTAGGGGGAAATCCAAGCTAACATGTTGCAATTATTACACGAAGTGATGGCAACTGGCTCTCTACCGAAGGAGTTTAACACTAGCCACATAAAGTTATTGCCAAAGAGCTGAGACCAAGCCCTCATCACAAACTACCACTCCATCTCCTTCCTTCTCCCTCAGTACTGTATACAAGCTCATATCCAAAACCCTTGTTAATTGACTCTTGTTAATTCATCTCTCCAGTTAGATACAAAAATCTCAAACTGGATTCATAATTGGACATTGCATCTTCAACAATGTGTACTTAGATGTGTACTTAGACATTGAAGCAATGGAGTGGGTGGAGGAAAGCAACCATGATGTAGTACTACTATTGTTCAACTTTGAAAAAACATATGATAGAATAAGCTAGAGATTTCTAAAAGCAGTACCTACTTGAATAGGATTCTCCAACACATGGATTATAATGGTCATATCACTGAATTCCAAAGCTCTCAAGGGCATGAATTTCAAAGAACCAAAAGATCAATACATTCTTGTATCACTCAAAAAGATTAGATAATCATTCAAAGATGGTATAACATTAAACTAGAATGGCTATTGTTAAAGTCAAGAAGTAAAGAAAGACTTGAAATAAGACTGAGGAATAAAAAGGCATCAAGAAGAGTGAAAAAGGCTTCACTCTTACCTCCATATATACTATTTAACTAGGAGTAATTTGACAACGTTCTATAAGACCTCCAACATGTGTCTACTTTGCAAGATATATATTTTAACTTACAAAATAAGTTTCTTATATGTGTCTTATATGGTTAACTTATAATACAAGCTACCAATACATGCGATACATGGCTAACTTATTGGCCAAGTGTTCAACCTATCAATCACCTATAAACACATATAAAAGTGAAACTATGTCTAGGAAGCTTCTAGAAAGCTTGTCTATAAGATAATATTAAATTAACCTACTTTTATCTACTTCTACTTAGTTATATCATCTAGATAATTATTAGAATAGATAGATATGTCAATGATATTATTTCCTTTTTTGAAGACAAGCTCCACAAAGAATAATGATATATTGATGAAGTCCAAGATGCAATGAATTCTATTTGTTATATACTTTGATGTATATTTCCTTTCAAGGTAATTAATAGGTCTTCACAGTCATAGACAATGTATTATTTAAAGGCAAGAAGATAATCCTAATGTTTGATTACTTTTGAAGTGTTCATAACTTCTTTCATACATAGAATTCGTAAGACCATTAAGAACAATTTCTACCTCCAATAAAACCACCAAACATTGAAAGTCTCTTCTAAATTTATAATACTAAATGCATTCTATCTTCCTATTTATTTAAGAAAAAACATATTATTCTCGAAGGTCTTTGTATCTATTACATTGTCTTGAAAGTTGAGTCAATTGTAATGTCTTATCCAATAATTGAGCAAATGATAGCTCTTAAGTTGAATCTGCTAGTTGTTGATTTTTTATCTTCTTAATTCTATAAATATACAAAAAATATAAATAAAAATAGAAAACATAATGTAATTTTTATTGAACCACATTTCTTTTATAGCAAAGATTTGATATTCTTTAATTTGATTTTAATACATATTATCAATGAAAAGCATCAATTTTTTGCTATATTTGTAAGATTCTTTATTAGCTTCCATGTGCATTTACTAATATCAATCCACACCAATGAATAAGATATTTCAATCTATTTTGGTGCCACCTTGAATCTAAGATTTTTCCTACCTCAAATTCTTGATTAATATTCTTTTTTATAGGAGGTAATAGCATTTGTCTTCTTCCTAAGATATTCATTGTCTTATATGGCTGAAGAAGAGATATGTGGAATATAAGATAGATCTTTATAGAATCTAATAGATGTAATTGATAAGCAATTAGATTGATTTGTTCAAAAATAAAAAATATTCTAAGTCTATGATAATCCAACTATCACAATTATAGAATTACAAGAACTTAAGATTGAAATATCCATGATAAAATCTATAGAAATAGAGGTCTATGATTATTCTAGAATAGGTAATAGCTGAAAAAATCCAAAAGGTTAATAATAAAGAGTTTTTTTTTTTTTTTTTTTTTTTTTTTTTTATCTTGAACAAATATCACATGATTGCACAAAATCTTTGACTATCTTCCACATTTGAAGCCACCAAAAATCTTTAGATATTAGTTTTAAAGTTTTTATTAGTTTTAACAAGCTTAAAAAATGCATAATTATACTTCACCTTCTAGAATATATAAGCATCCTATGAAATAAAATAGATTATTTTTGAATTTAAATTTAGGAATATTATGAGATTTAAAAGAATTATTTTTAATATAGTAAACAAGAAAATCAAAGGATATACTCAATTGAACTTACTTAAAAAAAGTTGAATCAACAATGATTGTTGATTTTATTGCTTAAAGATGAAAATAATCTAGCTCCTCAAAAATTGTTCTTTATTGATCAAAAGTTGTCTCTCTTTCTTTTGAAGTAAGATAAGAACATTTAAAAAAGGCATCAAACAAATCTTGTTGAATTCCAGCTTGATAAATTATCTTGAAATCAAATCTTGATAAACACATGCTTCAATAAGCTTGGCAATAATTTAAAATATATGTTGCATAAAATGCTTGAATTTCTTGTGATCCATATATATGGTGTCGTAGTAGAAAGAATTTGCTTTCAGAAAGCATTGAGCTTTTGGTAGTTTTGCAGTTGAAATTTGTTGTGATAGTTATTAAAAGTCACTAATTATTCAATCAAGCTTCATAATAATTTAAAAAATAAAATAAAATAAAAAATCCTAGTCTTTATATAATATTGTCTCTATATGAAGAATTACATCAATACATAAGTCCTAAGTATCAAAGGTCACCAAAAATGTGATAAAAATATTATAAAACCTTGTATATCCTTAAGATAAATTTTAACTGAATTTCAAGAGTTCATATCTCACAATCGGATCTTCTAGACAAACGAAAATTTTACATGAAGTATTGATGTACTTTCAATAACTATCACAACAAATTTCAACTGCAAATTCATTACAAATTTTGAGATATCATGAAAATCCTAATAACAGCTTCAAACACTTGCTTACATGTATATGCATGCAAATTTCTTTATATCTCAGAAATTAAATACTTAGATACCTTTAAAATATTAATATATAGTTTTTTAATCTAATAACATATATTTTTAGAAATTTTGAGCCAAAAGTTCATATAGAAACTCAAGATATGGTTCCAACCATTATTATCAATAAAACAACTCTCTTACTGCTTTTGAATTACATATACTATCTTCAATGCTCTATAACTTCTTCATACAAACTCCAAATGCAAAAATTCTTTCACAAAAGATGTAGATCTTAAAATCACCTTTGTAGTTGTTCTTTTCGATCTCTAATAACTATCATAAAATTCTTTGTATCTTCAAAAGAGCAATAGTATGTCTCAAAAAGATACCTTAACTTCAAACAGCTATAACTTCATCACCCTAACTCCAAATCCTCTAAAATTTGTATATATATTGTAGTCCAAATCCTAAACCTTATAAATCTTTCTTTTGATTTTCAAATGCTCTTTTGGAAGTTGCCAAAAATCTTATTATGGTTATAGATAGCCTGCTGAATGCTTGTTGGGCATGGCCTTCAATCCATTGGAATGAAAATCTTTACCTTTAGCCTTCATCCATCCATACCTTGCTTTCATCCCATGAAATAAGTTTCTTAGAAGTTTAGATCTTCATCTCTGAGCTCCAATCTTCTCTTTAAATTTTATATTAAACATCTAAATCTTATCTAATTTAAACACTATAATCAACATAAGTAAACATCAAAATAAATTTTCTTATATCAACTCTCTTTAAATTAACCTACTGACCACTTTAATATATATCAACACTCATAAATATATTATATATTTTAATTAATTTTTACATACTATAAACAATTACAATATAACAACAATAATTGAATTAAAAGTATTTTTTAGATAATAACTTTATTCTTGAAATAAATCCATGATTGTAAGAAGCTCTTTATTTTGGATCTTGTAATTGATCTTTACTACTAAAAATTTCTTGGAATGGAAAGTTATCAAGTGGATCTTTTTATTTACTCTATTTTATGACAATATCACATCTATGTCAAAGTCTAATGCATTTGTTTCCATAAAAAATTCTTTGAAAAAGTCAACATGATATAAGATTGATATAAAAATAAATTTTGTCTTCAATTCTTTAAAAGATTTTTTAATATCTTTTTTCTATTCAAGTTTGTCTTTACATGTCAAATATGCAAGATGAGATACAATTTAAGAAAAAATCTTCATAAAGATCTAATAATAATTTACAAATCTCAAAAAATATTATACATTACTTATTATTTTTGAAACCTTCCAATCCATGATAGTCTAGACTTTTTCAAGATCTATCATAAGGCCATCATTTGAAATGTTGTATC